AAACTAACTTTATTTATATTGGATAGCTCTATCCGTTCTAAACTGTTCTCCCTAGAGGTCCAGTAAGGATCATCTCGTATTGATCCAGTGTTACTACAGGAGGAAACCTAAACTAAACTAACTTTATTTATACTGGATAGCTCTATCAGTTCTAAACTGTTCTTCCTATAGAGGTCCAGTAAGGATAATCTCTTATTGATCCAGTGTTACTACATGCAGGAGGAAACCTAAACTGAACTAACTTTATTTATACTGGATACCTCTATCAGTTCTAAATTGTTCTTCCTAGAAGTCTAGCAAGGATCATCTCTTATTGATCCAGTGTTACTACAGGAAGAAACCTAAACTAAACTACTGTAACTTTATTTATACTGGATAGCTTTATCAGTTCTAAACTGTTCTTCCTGCAGGTCTAGTAAGGATCATCTCTTATTGATCCAGTGTTACTACAGGAGGAAACCTAAACTAAACTAACTTTATTTATACTGGATAGCTCTATCAGTTCTAAACTGTTGTCGCTAGAGGTCCAATAAGGAACGTCCCTTATTGGTACAGTGTCATTACTGGAGATAACGTAGAGAGGGTCAAATCTGGGTGTAAAGGTAATTTCACGAACGACATATATATAGCAGGAATCGCGCATCTGTCACACACAGAGAAAAGCACATGCATTAGACCTTGCGTGAACAACACCCACTCAGAATGATCTGTTTTTCCAAATTAACATATTTTGTGGGGGCCGAATGCTATTCCGGGTCTCATTAATTGTGGAGCCGCGAATCCCTGCTGGCGACACATGTGTCTTTCGTCTCTGTGACCCGAGTTCAATTCCTCCAATATACTGTTGTCTGATTATAATTTCACCTCGGTCACATGCGAGAAGAGTGCTTCCAGTTTGACTCTACCAAAAATCGCAGATTTTCTCCAAGGGAACTCGGGTTTCCTCCTGTAGTAACATGCAAGATCAAAATATGTTGCATTATTAAAAACAAGGTCATTAGCGTGGCGGTAGAGTAAAGTAATTTCTATTTCTCGAGGCTAAAATTATCGATACCTACGCATCTAAACACAATGAGTTTGTTCCGAATATATTAAACACATGATTTGGCTACGGAAAGTGAGTGGGAGTCACTCTGCTTCATTTTATAAAGAAAACCGCATTTGCCGCGATACAGCTATAGGGGCAAAGGCGTTTTTTATGAAAGCCGTTTGTTGCCAAGAATTTTAATGTGTTTGAGAGCGTGTCCTTGTTTTTAACTTTTGCGAGTTAAGAAAAGTTTAAAGGCTATATATGGGTATCAAATTTTGCATAGGTAAATTCTAAGTTTTGAAGGATTTGTAAAAGATGTTCAGTTCCCTATAGAATTTACCCATGCAAAATTCCTACTGTGATCACAGAAGCTTTGATAGTGTAAGCCAGTAATGTTCTATTGTTATATTGGGTAATGTTCTCGACGTCTACATAGGTAGGCAAAAATAACCCTTGAAATTGAAGCCTATAAATATGGGGGGCGCAGATGTATATAAATTATAATAAAAATAACGAGGCCTCTAGCCTGGCAAGGACGTGCCTTAATTTTTGTAAAATAAATGACAATTATCTTTTCGGCTTTATATTGTAATGTTAGGCCAATATTTTTGTTTATATTGACATGGAAACGGTATGGAAACGGTACTAAAAATATCACAAATTTTACCTAAATGTTAGGTAAAATTCATTTTCATTTATTCATTCATTTATTTCATTTTCCATCTCAAACGTGCATGGGGTCCAGTGTCTGAACTACTTAATTTTTTTTTAAATCTTCAACGCTTCGTATAAAGGCCCTTCGCTGCTGTGAACTTCGAAGTTCCATGCTTTTTCATTTTCAAGTAGTCCAGATAGTAATTTCAAGTAGTCCCGTACAGTTTATTGAAGAATACTGCAGTATTTTGAAGAATACTACAGTTTATATTGAAGAATACTAATACCTAAACTGGACCGCTCCACGTTTTTAAGTACCAATTGTCTACTGTCGGCATCTTAAATTCCCTGTTTTAATAGCCGACGTTGTTTGTCGATAGACGAGTTTTGCCAGATGTTTTAGTACTTCTCCTGAAACTCAGATATTTTACCTCGGCTTGCGTCAATTTCTTCGGCTATTTGCGCACGAGTTCGCATTGTCCTAAATTGATTCAATCATTTTCGGGTTAATTGAATTTTGCTGGGTCGTTGACTTCCCGCGGCTATAGGCAGAAAATTGATTGTTTTTGAGTCACGAACGGACTGTATAAAAGCTCCGAAGAGATGGGCTTTTGAATTAGAAATTCGACAACTGTTGCAGTGAAGTGAATTGAGTGTAGAACAATTGTTTTGGAGCGATAGGGGCAGGTCATTAAAGAAGAGGAGTTCAGTGGATACATTTTTAAGCGTACACATAGCAATCATGCAAGCGGGCCGAGAATTTGTGCTATTTGCAAGTGTAGCTGTTACGTTGTTCGGGCTTGTGGCCAGCAGTGGAGTGATAATTTATGGGGCAGCCAAACTTCCCAAAGACGTTTTGAACAGCATTGAAGAAACGAGAAAAGCTATGGGTTGTAATGCCCATGTTCTTCCAACTGTTGGTAAGAATGTACTCCTTTTTATAGCTGAAAGATTAGGCATGGATTATTAACTATTTTTATTTATACTGGATAGCTCTATCAGTTCTAAACTGTTCTCTCTAGTAGAGGTCCAGTAAGGATCATCTCTTATTGATCCAGTGTTACTACAGGAGGAAACCTAAACTAAACTAACTTTATTTATACTGGATAGTTCTATCAGTTCTAAACTGTTCTTCCTAGAGGTCCAGTAAGAGTCATCTCTTATTGGTCCAGTGTTACTACAGGAGGAAACCTAAACTAACTTTATTTATACTGGATAGCTCGATCAGTTCTAAACTGTTCTTCCTAGAGGTCCAGTAAGAGTCATCTCTTATTGATCCAGTGTTACTACAGGAGGAAACCTAAACTAAACTAACTTTATTTATACTGGATAACTCTATCAGTTCTAAACTGTTCTTCCTAGAGGTCCAGTAAGAATCATCTGTTATTGATCCAGTGTTACTACAGGAGGAAACCTAAACTAAACTAACTTTATTTATACTGGATAGCTCTATCAGTTCTAATCTGTTCTTCCTAGAGGTCCAGTAAGGATCATCTCTTAAACTTAAAAAAATAGAACGCTGACTTTTTCGCGTTCTCTTTTTCTGTCGTAAACAACTTCATATACTGAAGTTTGTTCCATATATGGAGAAAGACGTGGAAACAGATTTTAAAAAATGCTGATTTTAAAAAATTTACGAATATCTTAGAGGTAACTGTTCACAATTTTAGCACTTTTCAGCATTATTTTGAGCGCTTTTTGAGCACTATTTTTAGCACTTTTTAGCCATTTTTGCGATTTTACCAGCGCACAATCGAGAAAGGCCTATCAGGTAGTTCAGACACAAACCATGACAGTTTATGGTAGAATACTGCCTACACTAGACCACCACGTTTGAAATTTCTTTTTCAGGGGGGAGAATAGGGGTATACAAATCCGCCGATTTGAAGCAAAATCCATGATCCGATCCAAAATATTAGATAAATCCTCAATAAGATCCGAAATCGGTGTAAAACATTCGCCAGATCCGAAACTGGACGAAGTATACATTAATATTCAAAATGGCGGCAGCGCAATCACCGCCCAAAAGACAAACGAACTATGGATTGAAGAGAAGACTACCCAAACCCTACTGGCTCGAGTTCCTTTGAATTCGTCCAAAAACGGCTACCGTGCTATAAAAATGCGAGGTGTCTACATGGGCTGGCTGGCAAGCAACAAACGAAGGGGCTTTTTGAATGTGAAACTGTCCTTAACCCAAAAACATTTACTGAAGAATCTTTTCAAGTCCAAATCTTATTTTGTGATTTACACGTCTTCATTAGCTGGACAAGGTGCATCTCCGAAGTGCGAGTCTTTTTACGTCACCATTAAGCCACAGATCCCACTAAACACGGCGAATTTCCGTACGAAAGTTTGCTCGGCGCCCGATGAGATATCATTTCCTTTCAACGGTTCCAGTTTCTTTGACATGGGTATGGCCCTACGAAAATCGTTGAAGGATAATCCGATTCCGAGAAACGCAGCCGTTCTACGAAATCCGAAGTGTTGTCACGCCACCAAAGCGACTTCTAGGAATTTTGCCAAAATTGACAAACTTACAATCCGTGTTGTGAAACTTGCCAACGTGGAAATCACGGAATGCGGTTGTGGAACGGTTTAACTTGGGTGTAGAATTTTCACACACAATGAATCACTTCGATAAGTAGCGCGCCATTTTGAATTCCGGTGCTTTGTAGTATATACTGATCATAGCTAGTCCAGTCACGAACCAGTGACTATTCATTTTTTATTGTTTCTAGCATAGTCTATCAAGATATCATGGTTTGGAAACTAAACAGAAATCATGTTTATGTTTTGTCTGAATTTACTGATGTTAATTGTGCGCAGTTTCTGTTAATTTGTCGCAGTTTATGTTAATTTGTGCGCAATTTATGTTAATTAGAGCACATTGTATTTTCATATAATGAAGTAATCGTCCAATAGGGATAGCTGAGATGAACCATGCAACCATGATGAATAATATTTAATGAAGTTGAGACAAAGGTCTTCTATTTTGTAGCTTTGAAATTTGCTTGGCTTCCACATTATCGTATCTTGACAGATTATGTTTTCAATTCAATGTTTTTAAAATTCCTAGAATTTTGGAGGTTTAAATTAATTTTGAAAACTGTTGCACTTATTTTTGAAAACAATACAGTTTTTGCCTTTTTAAACTATATAGCCTCCATTGCTCCAAATTTTGTGGACGTACTAATTACGACCTATCCTTTTCATCTCTGGTGAGCTCCATATATATATATATATATATATATATATATATATATATATATATATATATATATATATATATATATATATATATATATATATATATATATAATATCTGGAGTGAGATGTCTTCTTGTCTTCACATGACTGAAGTTCGCATCAAATTGTAAATTGACTGAAAAAGCGTGATTAAGGATTATTGATGAAAATATTATAGATGATAGATGAGTGTATTATAATACTGTTATATAGTCAATTGGTTAGTTTTAGTCTGAGGCTTACGTCAGCAGACGGCGCTTGACGTCAAAACTGTTGACATTTAGAAGAGCAAGAACTCAAAGTACATTTCTCTGTTTTATTTAGTTGCTACCAGATACGAGATGATAGTTATTAGACTCGCTATTTGACCACCATCTGCTGCACAATAGTGTTTTAGTGAAATAGGGACGAAGCTAGCCACAACAACAGCTCATGCTATGCAAATTGTTAATGATTTGCATCATTCAAACCTTTAGAAATGTATTGATGTCTATATACTCAGATGCAGGTTTATTGGCATAGCATGACCAGCTGCTATGGCTAGCTCGCCACTGCATTGAAGACTACCTACTGATGAACAGATGTAAAAATAGTTAGCAGTGGAAAATGTAGTGATTAAAAAAAGAGGTATTAAATTTATTACAAGTGAAAGTTCCAAATTGGTGTGTATAGTCTTTGAGTTCACTTTTCATTCGAGCAATTGACTGGGCCTTCAAACTAATTGGACCTTCACTCAGAATTGAGAATGTTTTTTTTAATCTTTTATTAGACACAGTTCAGAGAGATCAGACACATACCATATACACAACAGCTTGTTGTGGAATACTACCAACACTGGACTACCGGCACCACTGACGTTTGAGATATATTTTTCAGGTAGTTCAGACACAAACCACGACAGATTAGGGACCGATCATTATTTATGGTTGGGTGTGGCACCGAACTGAAAAGGGTTGGGTAAACAAAATTTTGAGTGAGTAAAAGGTTGGATAAATGAAAAACAAAACAACTCAAGGGTTGGGTAATAAAATTTTATTGTCATTTCCAAAGCATAACTCACTGAAATATTGGAGACTAAAAAGCAATGTCAACAGTCATATGTCAATACAATATGTGAATCAATCAGAGTCACTATCTTGATCATTTTCCGCTTTGTTGGGAGAAAAGTAGTGTCTCCAAAGAAAGTACATGTGCAGACAACGTGAAACTTTAGACTGTAGAAAATTTCACAATCCGTTATCAAACTCATGTCACAGAAGTGGTAAGGGACTAGTGTGACAACTGAATGGTATCTTTTTGTAATGTTTTTGTCCAGGGGTGGGTATTTCTTTTTTAATTGATATTTGAGGTTGGGTAATCAAATATTTTACTTTTTAATGGTTGGGTCAGCAAAATGTTTGCCACGAAAAACATTTACCACACCCCTCCCCCCCCCCACCCCACCATAAATAATGACCGGTCCCTTATTGCAGAATACTACCTACACTGGACCACCACCTTTAAGATACCTCTTTCAGGTAGTTCAGACACAAACCATGACAGTTTATGGTAGAATAATGCCTATACTAGACCACCACGTTTGAAATTTCTTTTTCAGGGGGGAGAATAGGGGTATACAAATCCGCCGATTTGAAGCAAAATCCACGATCCGATCCAAAATATTAGATAAATCGTCAATAAGATCCGAAATCCGTGTAAAACATTCGCCAGATCCGAAATCCGGACCTATTAACCCCCCCCCCCTTTTCAGGTAGTTCAGAAACAAACCACGACAGCTTATTGTAGAATATTATACCTACACTGGGCCACCACGTTTGAGATATCTTAATTTGCAGGTAGTTCAGACACAAACCACGAGAGCTTATAATTCTAGAATACCACCTACAATGGACCTCCACGTTTGAGATATTTTATGTCTGGTCAGTCAGACATATAAATCAAAGGCAGCTTATTGTAGAATACTATACCTAGACTGGTCTCCCACGTTTGAGATATCCTTTTTCAAGTAGATCAGACACAAATACTGTACCCCCTAGCCCGCGGTATATGGGATTTGGGGCATCTCATTCGATGGAACTCATTGTCGGCATGTACATTTTATTCAAATATCAAGACTAGATTAAGTTATGTTGAAGAGTTTTGGCAAAAGATGGAATTTTCGAGTATTTATTCAGACCTAACAAGATTTTACTTAGGTCTAAATAAAATGTCTAAAACGTCGAAAATTCCATCTACTGATTCTGCAACAATTCCCTTCATCTGCTTCAACATTAAATTTTATACATCATCAGACCTACAGTTTCATTTTTCCCAGCTGCTTCTTGTCAGGCCCTCTGGAATTGAACCCTTCAAGACAACAATATATTTTTCAAAGCCTTCAGCATCTTGTTTTTTTTTTAAATCCCTTTTAACAATATGTTTTTTTTTAAAGCCCCTCGACAATATGTTTTTTAAAGGTTAAAGATTTCAGGATTACAGTATATAGAAAACATTTTTGTTTGTTGAAAGGGATGTCCAGATCGCCAGACTTCCGCGTGTTTACGCCAAGAGTTTCACTGACATTTCTCAAACATCTTTGTCAACAGGTGCTTGAATCATAGACGTCTTGACTGCAAACGTATGGCACTGTCTGTACTGCAAGGTACATAATATATACAGAACTCTTCTGGTGTGTTTGTGGTTCATTGTTTCGTGCCTTTCATCAGTAAAATATTCCTTCAAGCACTTGAAGTTTGACTCTACCAAACAGCACCAGATTTCTCTGCCTTCGCCGGCTTTCACCTCTAGAGAGAACAGCTTAGATCTGATAATGCAGGAGGAAACTCAAACTAAAATCGTTATATTGGATTATAGCACTGAAAAAATAAGGGCCTTTGCTGGAACTCTAGGGAGAACAGTTTACAACTGATGCAGTTATAATCCAGTATAAATACAAATAGTTTTGGTTTCCTCCTGTCACACTTGAGCAATAAGGGATTATCCTTACTGGACCTGTAGAGAGAAGAGTTTAGAACTGATAGAACTATCCAGTATAAATAAAGTTAGTTTAGTTTAGGTTTCCTCCTGTAGTAACACTGGATCAATAAGAGATGACCCTTACTGGACCTGTAGAGAGAACAGTTTAGAACTGATTGAGAGATATTTAGTATAAACACAGTTTAGTTTAGGTTTCCTCCTGTAGTAACACTGGATCAATAAAAGATGACCCTCACTGAACCTCTAGGAAGAACAGTTTAGAACTGATAAAGCTATCCAGTATAAATAAAGTTAGTTTAGTTTAGGTTTCTTCCTGTAGTAACACTGGATGAATAAGAGATGACCCTTACTGCATGGACCTTTAGCGAGGACAGTTTAATTTAGTACTGTCAAAATTCGGGTTCAGTTCTATAATATTCCAGTTTAAGAACAATCGAAATCCAGTATGAATACAGGTTTTTGCTCCATATGCTAATTAGCATTGGTTAATTTAATCATTGGTTGATTTCATAGCAACTTAGCTTGTGCCTGCGGTGAAAACCACATACTTGGTGAACGCATTGTGGGCGAAACATCAGGAGCGCATTTAACATATCGGTGAGTAATCTTTTGGGTTTTTTTACTTGTTGTTTACTAATTATAGTAATAGTGTACACAAATTGTTGTTTGCCGTTTAGCGCAGTTTCGCTGGCGAGGCGACGCACTGTCATTTTTTGAACGCGAGACTTATGGCGAGCACTTTTAATTAACGCAATGAAACTTGCAACCGTAAACACGCGTTATTCATAACACTGGTTAACACGCAATTATTTGACAGTGTAAATCTCTTCTTGTCAAAGTTTTATGATGTGAATTCAGCCGCTCATTTTCTGCCGTGCTTTGTGCCTGAACTACCGGTACCTGAAAGAGATTTCTCAAACGTGGTGGTCCAGTGTAGGTAGTATTCTACGATAAGCTGTCGTGGTTTGTGTCTCAAGTCTGAACTACCTGAAAAGATATCTCAAACGTGGTGGTCAAGTGTTGGTAGTATTCTACAATAAGCTGTCGTGGTTTGTGTCTGAACTACCTGAAAAAAAATATCTCAAACGTGGTGGTCCGAGTGTTGGTAGTATTCTACAACAAGCTGTCGTGGTTTGTACTGATCTGAACTACCTGAAAAAGATATCTCAAACTTTGTGGTCCACTGTAGCTAGTCTATACAATAACCTCTTGTGTCTGAAGTCTGAACTATACCTGAAAAAGATATCTTTAATGTGGTCAGATGACTCAGATCCAGTGTAGGTAGTATAACTAGTATTCTACAAGAAGCTGTCGTGGTTTGTATCTGAAATACTTGAAAAAGAAATCTTAAACGTGGTGGTCCAGTGTAGGTAGTATTCTACAAGAAGCTGTCGTGGTTTGTGTCCGCTGAACTACCTGAAACAGATATCTCAAACGTGGTGGTCCAGTGTAGGTATAGTATCATACAATAAGCTGTCGTGGTTTGTGTCTGAACTACCTGAAAAAGATACCTCAAACGTGGTGGTCCAGTGTAGATAGTGATTCTACAATAAGCTGTTGTGGTTTGTGTCCTTACTAGCTAAAAAGACTAAATTAAATACTTCGATGTTTTAGTAATAAAAAAACTTACGTCAGGATTGCTACTAATTTCTTGACGAAGCGACTTCACAGGTGGAATTGTTTTAATTTTGTCAGGGAGTTCAGGACCAAACCAATTCAAACTGATGTACCCATTGTACCCACGTTTCAGACAAACCACGACAGCTTATTGTAGAATACTGCCCACACTGAACCACCACGTTTGAGATATATTTTTCGAGTAGTTCAAACACAAACCACGACAGCTTATTGTGGAATACTACCTACACTGACGGCGACCACCACGTTTGTGATATGTTAATTTGCAGGTAGTTCAGACACAAACCACGACAGCTTATAATTGTAGAATACCACTGACCTACAATGGACCTCCACGTTTGAGATATTTTATGTCTGGTCAGTTCAGACATATAAATCATGGCAGCTTATTGTAGAATACTACCTACACTGAACCACCACGTTTGAGATACCTTTTTCAGGTAGTTCAGACACAAACCACGACAGCTTATTGTAGAATACTACCTACACTGAACCACCACGTTTGAGATATCTTTTTCAGGTAGTCAGTCAGACACAAACCACGACAGCTTATTGTAGAATACTACATACACTGAATCCTCGCGTTTGAGATATCATTCTTTATGACTATCTTGACCGGAGAAGCGGAAAATTGAAAAGAGCCGGTTTCCACCGTGATACGCTGGCCAAACGGAGCCAACAACTTGGTTTCACATTCAGACATTCTTTCTCCGTGCAGTCTGTGGCTATATCATTCTTGGTGAAAAACCACACATCGCCTGACATCGGAAATGCCAGATCCAGAAGTTAAACGTCTCAATGCTATTCATTTGATTTCAAGCTTGTTTCAATTGCGCTTCTTCCTGATTTGCGGTATTTCTCCAAGCGTCATACAGAATTGATGAATACGACATGTATTTTGCCTCAGACAATCTCCTGTGATAATGATGCACGCAAGCATTGATGTGAGATTCGAAAAAAAGGCGCTAACCGAACATTTATATGCGATTGAGATGACATCTATACTAAGTACAGAGTCAAGGACTCGAGCTAAAATGAAATAAAATTAAATAACTCAAATAAAAACCGGTGTTTAAAGTCATAAAGAGCGTGACGCCGCATATTGCTTTATTTTTAGCACATGATAGATAATACTGGATTGTAGTGGATACCTGATGATGAAGTATATTGATATAGTCCCAGGATCAAAATGAATTCAGTCTACATTGATATGTAACAAATATAAAACATTTTCCGTGTTGATATACAGTTATATCAACACGAGCGGAAATTGGGAAAACGAGAAATCAATTGTCACACAATTTCGAGTTTTCCCAATCCCCACGACTGTTGGTATAACTGTATATTAATAGGGAAAAAATGTTGTTTTTTTATAATATAGCACGAAGAGATATACAGAAATAAATTTTTCGTGTTGATATTGAGTATATCAACACGGCTCTTAACCAATCAGCGTTCATAGTTTACAAATGCTATATTATAAATTCATATATGATTATGAGATCGTATGGGATGACAAAAGTGGATGGGGCACCCCCCCCCCCCCAGTTCCACGACCCCTGCATTCAACTGTTTAAGGTGTTTATTAGAATTGTATGGTTTGGTCGTTGTATCATGCAGTTTTCAACGCCGGTATGAATTAGTGTGAACCGTATAATCATATTTAAGTCAATTTGCAGAGGAACCGCCGGTTGGAGTTCTTCGCGGGGCACATCGTTAAATTGGCCAACTTTTGGTTTATGAACCTTTGCAATAATGGGATTTTCATTCCTCACATTCTTTCTTTCATTT